TCCATGCTGAACCAGAAGCAGTGTTAAATTTGGAGGTTAACTTCAGTATTTGTGCCAGTGCTGTGCACCTTCCAGAGTCAACAAACATCCTGAACTTCTGGTAGAACCTGTAAGAGATTGAGCTTTGTGGATTTGATTCATATAAAAGATATAAAAAAGCCATACTCAGCTAGCAGCTGGCTTTGTTCTGCCCATGTATTTTCACAGTCTTTGTCACTTCCTTTACCAGGAGCAGTATTAGAGATGGAGTTTTAAGAACTCTAGTTACTATTTATTCTGTTGTATCCATGACAAACCAGCTGTCTCTGAATTTTAAGCTTCTTTACATTAGAAACAATTGTAGCAACTATAGTCAATATTCTGCCATCATCTCTGTGGGAAGATTACTGCGTTTTGAGAGGGCCTTTGTCCTTGCTGGCTCATCCCATTGGCCATTTGTCTGTATTGTATCTGGCCTTTTTAGGTTATTGTGGGAAAACAATAAAACTCTAAAACTGGAATGAGTCCGATGTATCCCAGCGTTGTCTGTCAGATTAGAAGGGAATCCAGTGTCTAAAATTATGACTATCTAAAATTCTTTCCATCTGGATACCTGAATGAGGAAAAACTTCATTTCTAATACTCCCTATCTGGAGAAGGAGCTCTTTAGGGATTTACAGCATCTGCTGGATTTTGTCAGTTCTGTATTTCTGTGTGCACAGGAAATCTCATTTCAGCATAGCTGGAACACAGCAATTTCATAACAATTTTAATAATCTTCAGTGTATGGTGGAAGCAAAGCATTAAGTGCTACCATTTGCATATCAAAGGAAATGGGTCAAGCCATTCAACTAGTAAAAAATTAATTTCTTATGCTGTAAATTTGGGAAGCAGAGAGCTGCTTATCAGAGAAGCTGTGATTTATTTCCTGCTGATCGAGGCTACTGCAGAGAAGGGGCTTCTCAAGATATACAGAGTGGTCTCTGAGGTGAGTAAACTGCAAAAATCTAGATTACAAGGGAAGCTAATTCTTTCTTTGTCGTCACCCAGCCTTGATGCTCTGAGTCAAAATGGCATAGGAGATGAAGGAGCAAAGAGTCTATCTGAAGTCTTTCCAACCCTGACATCACTGGAAACATTAAAGTAAGTGCAAGGTTAACTGTTCTGGAAAATTTTGAAAAGAAATAGATTAAACCTAGAGCCTTAAGGGACGATGTGGTAACAGTTACGGGTACAACTAACCCATGGGCATGGAAGACCAATGAATCTGCGGACATATTTAATCTGCACATTCATTAGAGAAATAGGTTAATCCTATGGCAATTCCTCATTTCCCTTCAAGGGCCGTAATTTGTCTTTTTCCCTGCATTTGGTCTAAACAGACTGTCCAAATTATATAAAAAAGACATGGAAAATGAATTTTCCCTTGTAATACTGTAATAAATTAGAATAAATGTGCTCAACTAACAAAGCGATCTCACTTACTGTAGCTTATCACAGAATAAGATAACAGATGTGGGTGCAGAGAAACTAGCTACAGCTCTTCCTTCCTTGTCTTCATTAAAGACACTAAGGTAAGTAGCTGTATCCTGTTCAGTTGTTTTATACAACATACCTTGCTATCTCAGAAATTACTGAACATGGAACAAATATGTACACTGTGCAGCAGCCAAGCTTTTGACTTCATTCTTGCATAAAGTCTTTAGACAAAAGAGAAGGAGAGAAATGTATGACCCAGTGTAGATATACAGAAGGATATATATGCTCAGGAATATAACAAGGACTGCACTGATTTTTAAATCCAATCCCTGTACAAATGTGCACCCAAGGCTATGATCTACTGTGAGCTTATGCAGAGCTTGCTAAGCACAGTGATAAGCCCTAAGCCAGCAATGAGGTGGTGTGTGTTTGCTGATATGGGACCAATCGTCCATCCCACTTCATTAAAATGTCTGGCATAGGCCTGACTGAAGTGTCTCAGTAGGGAATGCAGGGAACTGTGTTGTGTAATTCTGGAAATTTGCTCACATGGAAATTTTCTGAATGCTGTGTCGCAAACATTTGAGCTTCATTTTCTTGCAGATTTTTAATTTGATCTAATGTAGACAGACATGTTCTCATTATTCATTAAGAATCTAGATCTATTTTTCCCATAGCTGTCTAGCTGAAGAAGGGATGTGGCCACCTGCCTTAATTGATACAGAAAATGTGAATCTGTGTTTTAAACATTAACTACAAATAGATAAGGATAAATTGAAAGTTTGACGTACCAACCATACCTGAAATTCCTTGATCTAATATATAAGCTGTTTACATTATCCATTATTCAATTGTGACTTATACTGGTTTGGTTTTCTGCAGCTTATACAATAATAACATTTGTGATTTTGGAGCAGAAAATCTTGCAAAAGTTCTTCCTGCGATGGCATCTTTAAGAGTGCTAGAGTGAGTATGAAATCTTTTGAGATGACCCAGAAAAGCTTACTTGCCTGGATACTGAAAATTCAAATCTTCCCTGCTTGGGGTAGAGGAGACAGAATTTGAGGACGGAAATTTCACAGGCAAAATATGCTTATGCAGAGTCCAGATAGTCAGTGGTTAGAAAGGACTAAGGAGCACCTCACCATTAAAAAAAAAAAATAAAAAAAAAAATCAGTTTTAAGATGGGAGAATAGGGTCATGGGGAGTTGGAGAAAGACCATGGGTACATAGAATAAGGAATCCCTCAGATGAAGTAACTTAATGAAGTTCCACTTTGACCTTTTGAGTATTTTATTATAGGTTTTTTGAATCAAGGATCTATTTGGGGTTTTTTTTCTTTTCCTTTCTTCCTCCATCTGCAGATAAGCCTGTATAGCATTTTTGATTCTGAATGAAATGTTTGATTACACCGCTACATGATGTGCTCTGGATTAACAAAGGTGTTTTTTCCTCAGTGTTCAGTATAACAAAATAACTGGTGTTGGAGCCCAGCAGCTGACTAACAGTCTACGAAAATGTCCCCATATAAAGAACTTGGTGTAAGTCTCTTGATATGGTGTTTCCTTTACCTTCATTCTGTAAATTGGGTTAGAATCCATGCTAAGGCTGTGTTTTGTATTTGTCAGATTTAGAAGAGGCACAATAAAAAGACATCACCAAACTACAAAGGCAGTCACAGAAATGTTAAAAATGTTATCTCTGGTTTCAGCTGCATTAATTCCCAATCGTCCCAGGCAAGCAAGCTTGTCCTCCTTTAACCACAGTTTACATTGAGCCTCCCTTTGTTAATCTTCTACCCTCCCAGAGTACCTGACCTACACTATGCTGCAAGACTTGTATTTGAAGGATAAACAATGAGCAGCCATCATTAAAGGCTAAATAGACTGAAGCTCCCAGTATGCATTCAGGGGGAGAGAGTTTGATAGAAAGTTTATGAATAGTTATGGAGACAGGACTGTAGTGTGTCCTATAACCACAGCCAGTCAGGTTATGGGTGAGTGAACTGCTTTCTTCTAAATGACAATGCATTTTCACTTGTTCCATAGCTTAAATACTTTTATAGAATGATATTCAAAAGGGGAAGGCAACTTTAAAAAAAAACCAAAACAAAACACAAACATACCAAACACACCAAAATAACTGTGAAGTAAATTACACTTCTTGAAATCTTAAAATTTGCCCTTACAGGATGTGGAATCCCACCATTCCCTATGGAGTTCTCGAGCATCTTCAGCAGCTGGACTCTAGGATCAGTGTATAGATTCAGATAATCCCATAAAGGTAACGTAAAACCTGGCTCCCGGAGACAACAAGATTTTTTTCTGTAGCCACTGTTGCTTCTGGTCTCGCTGGCAGCATCAGCATCAATGTTACTTAGCATATGTGGCTAAGTAAAGAGACGCTGCGCTAGAGTGGCACAGATCAGTATCGCATCAGGCCCCCGTTCCCCTCACTCACCTTGCATCCCCCAGCTCCCTGGCACCAGCACGAGCAGACTGCAAGAGCTGCATCAGTAAGAATGGACTTCTGCCAGGAGTCCAGTTCAGCCCAGTTCAGTGACTGGTAGCTGGCCTGCTCACCTTCCCTTTTCTGTCGTGGAAAACTAAATAGCTCTGTGTGCTTCTCATGTTTCATAGATGAGTTCTGTAGTCCTTAGAGATTGTTTTGTATTGACTTTTAGTAAGCCCTTTCACTTTTCCTTGGTTTAATACAAATGCTCAAGTGCTGCTTGTCTCACTATGAAGCGGTGCCTATACTGTACTTGGAGCAAACCATTGGTTCCTGCATTCCTTGTTCTCAGTCTCTTTTCTGTGGTTTGGCCACTAGCAGCCACTTTTAATTCATTGATTCTGCCCGCACAGTTTCAAGGATCCTTGAAATAATGGCATCGTTAGCAATTTGCTCACAGTTTGCTGATGATCACCAGGATCGGACTTCCTTGGCGCTCCTGCACTGAAGGAGCTCCAGCAGGCATGGGAAGTTCAGGTTTTGTGTAGGATTTCTGCTCCCAGTTTTCTGCCATGTGCTTCCTCTTGCTCTTAAAAGAAATTATGCAGGATGCATCACTGAAATGATCCCAGTGAAGAATGAGAAGCCAGTCAAGCCAGACACCAGATGCCTTCCAGCTTTCTTTCAGACGGCAAAAACCACATTGCAGAGTGATGTCCAGCTGCTTGAGCTGTGTTTGAATGGCCCTGGCAACGGCTGCACTTGTCGATGGCTCCCTAAACCATGCAGCAAGCCAAGCTTTTGCATGACTCTTGCTCTCAGTGCACTAATCAGTGGATGTAGACATGGCTATATATATAGCGCTGATCAGGCTACAGGTTGTGGAAGGCTTGGGTGCCAAACCAGCTTCACATTCTAGCTTTATTACAGCAGCAGTGAAAAATTGTAGTGATCCTTGATAGCCTACAGTACAAGTCTTTGTCTTGTGGAATAACCATACCTACTTGGGAAAGAAGACTCTAGGGATATGAACGCTGCCAGGAAACTTCACAAAAGCAAAGCTTTTTCTACCCTCTGGTATCTGTCATTCAAGGGGACCATGAGGTAAGAGTCTATGAACATGTAGGTCAGCTCCCAAATGACCTCAGTTTTCCCCTCGACACAGAGCAATGGCAGTCAGTGGTAGAGAGCTCTGCTCTGTGAAAGTCGGTGATTCTAGGACACTGGTCAGCTTTCACACCAAGCAAAAGATGTGTTTAATGGAACTCTGTGTAAACAACCCCTTGCATCTCCCTCTACTGCTGTTCTCTCATGTTTGCAGCACATGTCTTTGGCACTGGTTACCACATTAGTATAGTATCTCAGCATGTGAGGAAACATTCTTCTTCATTAGCACTGAGGATAAGTAGCAACAGGAAGTCTGGATCCTGTCTCCCAAACTTGAAACATCCAGCATCTACCAGTCATTGTTGTCTGTTGTCAGAGCACATCAAGTCTATGGTTTTGGTGATGGTGATTAGGCTGATGGGCATACTTCTAAGATTCTGTTTTCATCGTTTCACAGGTAACATAAAGAAGAGGGGAAGGTGTCCTCTGTGTTTTCCTGTCTTCTTGCTGCTTTATGAATCAGTGGCTGATTTCCATGACAGTGGCAAAATGAAAGAACCACACATTTAAGCTTCTGAGTGATGCTTGAAGTGGGTGAATGATGGAGTTCAAATTTTTTAAAGGTCATTTAAAATGCTATTCAAACACCTGGTTGTGTGTCTACTGAAGTGATGAAGACTTAAGCAACATCAAGTTTCAAAGATGAAAAGAGCATCTGGATATTGTGATGCCCATTAAAGGTGGTCAAGAATCACCAGGATATTGACAGTATCAAATTCCATCATTGATTCATCACAGAGTAGACTGCAAGCTGCTGGACCTACAACATCTGAAGTAGTGACAGATCAAATCTAATTGTTTCATGGTGCCAGTAGTAACTGCGATCAAACTCACTTTGATGATTTTGGACTTCCAAAAGTCAATGTTACAGATTTCACCTGTCTCTCTGGACTGATTTGAAGCATTAAGGTCAGGAGCATAAGTAAGAATGATGAGTCTTAGAAAACAGTCTGATATTGTAAGATTGTCCACAAGAATCTAGTAGTGGCTCTTTTCTTGATGCTAATCACCAGTGCTGTCTTAAAGGCTAGAAAAATATTTTCTATCACTCTGGTTACAGAATCCTTCAAAAAGATTGGGGGGCGGGGGACGGGGAAGAAAGAAGTAAAGAGAAGAAAGGAATTAAACTGGAACACTATTAAGAATTTTTCTGACATTATTGCAGAAATCTAAATGCATACAAATAGCTTCCGTTTATTGCACAAAAGTCCTCAAAGTGCAAATCTTCAAAGGTTTTTACTCTGTCTCAAATGAGAACTTTAAATTCATATACCTGAATTGGGATTTAGTTTCTGACTTGCAGGTGGCAGCATAAATGTATAAGCATCAATTCTATATTTGACAGAGAAATCACTACTGTGCGTGGTTTATGTGGCCTTCTTTTACAGAGTTCTGAATAACTAGGCAATGACAGACAATAACGTATTTCAAAGCATTATCATGCGTCTGTGCTGCTGGTCTCAGTGATATGTGGGCCAAATACTGGTCCTGCTGATTGCGATAGCAAACCAATTGTCTCTTTTTTTCTTTTATTTTTATTCAGATCTGTGAAAGTGGAGAGAACTTAGAATTGCACAGAGACAATTGTCAGGACTAGCATTCTGGCTCCCTGTCCAGATACTCTCTGGAGACAGAACAGAAAGGGACAGAAAAAGCTAGGAATATTCAATATGCCACAAGTCAGGAAGGAAGGTTTCTGCTTCTGCTCTCTAGCCAGAGTTACGGAAAAAATCTCATTTACACTCCCTTCTTTCAGCTGCTTGAATGGGAGGTAGTTTGAGCCAAATCCTGTGTGACGTTCCCATCAGCCTGCGGCACTACAGCCATGCAGATCTGTGCGAAGGCCTTGTCTTGGCTTCCCTTAACTAAGCTTTGGATGACAAATGCCCTTTTAGGGATATATTCTGCTACTACACTTCACTGTGACGAAATCTGAAAATGCTAAATATTACACAGGCAGCTGAATGTTACACGACCCTGTCGGGACTGATAAAATCACATTGCGTATACTGCTGTTCTCTTTCTATGAGTTAGTGGGATGTATGTTTATAATGTACAGATTGTAAATTGTGATACAGTTTTTTGGTTGTCTTTATACATCTTTTTATAAGTATTAATAAAAGTGGGTATTCCTTTTTACAGTAGCTTGTAGTACCTGTTGAAAATTCTTTTTTCTCTTGGAAACACTGTGAAACCACTGCTGCTTCTGAACATAATGACATGCTCAGGGCTTTGTATTGTAGCTTAGCGGAAAGCTCTGTGTGCGAGGGAGACAGCTTGGTTCTGCTGGCACTTACCAGTTCAGTGGTCTGGAAATGGAGAAATAATTCTTTCTTAACAGGCAATGGGATCTTGCAATGCCAACTGACAGACTGCAAGTCCACTATTAGAAGATATAAAAGTGCTGACTAAAGCTGTCTAATAACAACAAAAAAGTTCTCATCCTTTCAGACTTTCTGCAGTTAAAAGTTCTACAATTAATCAAGGTGCAAAGTTTGGATATTCTTGTGGCACAAAGCTCATCCAAAATGCTTTTGTCAAATGAGTGCCTTGTGTATAGAGGACTGAATTTACTGGCTACCCTAAAAAAAGCTGTTCCGATCAAATCTGTGTTCAAAAGATGCTTTAGGATGAGACAAATGCTACTCTCTTTGTGCCCATGCTCTTTTTTCTTGTCAAAGAGGCCTTGTTAAAAATGCTAAAGCTTGTAGTATGATGGTAGACAGGTCCTGTAATCTGAGTACTCTCCCCATCCTTTACATGTATGAAGCTGAGCTGTTCTGAGAAATCAGAAATCTTGATCTGAGATTCAGAATCTCCACAGTGAATTACTTTGTGGAATTTGTATTGCTTGATCTGTGCATCGTGTGGCATAAACCCACTGCAGGGAACTGCTTACAAACTAGCAGATACTGCAGTAAGTACCTATAAAGACAAACCGAATCATGTTCTTAAAATTACATCTATGTGACCCTCAAAATTTAGTGTTAAGCTGTCTCTGTGAACAGTATGACTTTCTAATTATATAGGCAACAAGAATGCAAGAATGCAAAAATTCAGCCTTTCTTGTGTTAGTACCAAATGGGCATGTGAACACAAGCTTAGCAAGTTTTTAAACTTGCCTGTTCTTTATATAGGTGCCTAAATGGGGATTTAGTTCCTTAAATGTATCTTTACATGTTAGAATATTGTGCCCTAAGTGACTTCATCCCTGAATTGCAGGTCAAGGATTGTATGGAACAAAGCACTTATCAGTGTCTTAAGGCCCCAAACTGTATCTGATGGAACCTATCTAGGAGAAAAGGTATTTAGTTCAATGACAGTGCTTCACCTCTTGCAGGAGCAGCTGAAAATTGCATTTGGGGCACAGAATTTTGAGGACTGGGAGCTAATTTCTACTGCACTAGAAGTTAAAAATGCCATTTGAGTGCAACACACTGTAAGAGTATCAGGAAAAAAGAGTTTGATACACAAGTTTCTTTGTCATTATTTCAAGGGGGATCTAAACCATCACCCTCTTGTTCCCTCATACTGGCTGTCAAGAGACTCATGACACCATCTGTCTGGATCCAAAAGCCCAGGCTGGGTGCAGATGGTAGACACTGCAGAGGACAGACATAATGCACAGAGTGAGTTCAGGAGGAA